TTTTAAGGTTTTATTTATTTAGAGAGCGGAAGGGAGGGAGAAAGAGGGAGAGGAACATCAGTGTGTGGTTGCATTTCATGCGCCCCCTGCCGGGAACCTGGCCTGCAACCCAGGCCTGTGCCCTGCCTGGGAATTGAACCAGCGACCCTTTGGTTTGCAAGCCGGCGCTCAGTCCACTGAGCCACACCAGCCAGGGCACTCCTGTATTTTGCTGTAAGAGCTTTGTGGTTGGAGCGCTTACACTGGTAACGTTCTTCAGGTTGTCAGCTGGGGCAACAAGGCTCACCTCTTTGGTCCCCTCTCAGGGACAACTGTTTTCCACTGCATGCAGTTTCCTATAATTTTGTCCTGCTTTTCAGCTGCTGAAGGCAGGACAGTAAACCTGGTCCCAGCTACTTCATCTTGGCTGGAAGCGACGCTCACATTGCGGATTATGCTTCCTGATGCCCCCGGCCACACAGCACCGAGGCAGGTACTCTCTCTGATCCCACGTGGCACTGGAGATTCAGGACTCACCCAGGGTCACACAGCTGAGTGACCGCGCCCGCGGGACACCTTCCTGACCCGCTCCCACGCTCACGGGAGGCTGCGAGGCGAGGGTGCTGGAGGGGGCCGGGCCGGCGGGGGGCGCCGCTGAGCCCGAGCGCCCGGTGTGGCCCCTGTCCAGCCCTGCGCGTCTGCGTCCCGCGACTGCGCATCTCCAGTTCTGAGTGCCTGCCCTCCTCCCTGACCTGCCCAGGTGAGCCTAGTTCCGGGCGGGACGATTCCTGGAAGCCCACCCTTCCCCAAACACCACATTGTGGACTTGAGAGGGCTGTGCATCTGGGACCCAAGGGGACAGCAGCCAGGACACCCTCAGCCTAGTCACACAGTCACAGCCGCGCCCTGTGACCACAGCAGCCGCGCTCTGAGCACCTCTCAGGGACCAGAACATCGGTGGCATCGCTTGGTTTACTCCACGCACGCGCCCAGGCTCCAGGCCAGGTGGCCCGGACTTCCCCAGGGCTCCAGCCTTGAGCCGGGGGCAGTCGGTCTCCCCAGCCAGGAGGAGGCTGCTCGTTGAATCTGGGCAGGAGATCGCATTTGACGCTAAGGAGAAGGCTCACTGGGGGTCGTCTGAGGGAAGCGCAGACCTTCACGCCCGGCCCCCAGCCGTGTGTGCCAGTGGGCTGGGAGGGTGCCCCCATGTGGCCTAGTGCCAGAGGGCCCACGTGTGCAAAGGAACATCAGCCCGCACGCCCCCAACAGGGGCAGGGCTTCCTCCCAGCGGCTTCGGGAAGGGTCACAGCAGCCTCCTGCCTCCAGTCTGCATGGTGTCGTTGCGCGTGGACCCCAGTCCGTCGGGGCTGCTGGGAGAAAATGCCACAGACGGAGGCTTATCGACAAAGAGGTATTCCTCACATCCCCGGAGGCTGGGAGTCAGAGGTCACGGTGCTGGCCTGCCTAATTTTGGCCCCCCCCCGGAGGTCCTCCCATGGCAGCAAGCAGCAAGCAGCAAGCTCTCTCCCGTGGACCCGGCCACCTCCCAAAGGCCCAGCGTCTCGGGGCCCCACCGCGACGGTGAGGCACCTGGGGTACATTCCGTGCGTGGCACCCGGTCCCGGCTCAGGAAAAGCCCAGCCAAAGCTCGCCAACTCTGAGCAGCAGACCAGGGAGCTCAGCTCCTGGGGTGTCCCCCTCGCCTCCGGGTTCCGCAAAGCCATTCCTCAGACATTCACGGGGTGGAGCTTTCTCTCTTCCCACCACTGAACCAGCAGGACCTGCAGGCACGCAGCCCGGCCCGATGACGCCCTGTCCCGCCAGGCACCTCCCTCAGGGCCGTCTCTGCCTGGGCCACACAGAGGGACAGCGTGGCGGAGGCCCGTGGAGCAGCTTGTGGACCCGGGTGGGCAGGCAGAGCGCGAGGTCAGGGCCTGGAGCCTGAGGGATGTCAAAAGGGCCTGGAGCTGGGGTGCCGGGCGAGCCAGCCCCCTGCCCTCTGGGTGAGGGCGTTTGGCCCGGACGGTGGTCAGCAGGGGAGTTGGGGTGGGCGGGGGGGCCTGGAGAGGGCAATGACACCCCCGCCCCAGGGGCTGCTGGGCCCTCCCCCTCAGGGCGCGGGGGCGGGGCACAGGGTGCCGGGCGGGGAGCCCACCTCCAGCAGGGGAAGGATGGGAGGGCAGGCAGAGCGGGGGCGGGGGGGGGCGGGCTTCTGCTGGCTCAGCTGTGAGCCCCTCCCTCCCTGTGAGGTCGAGGCTGACGGGAGGCCCAAGCACAGGGCCTCCGGCTGCCAACACTGACCTTCCACTCTGCAGAGCCAGCACACCCCGCAATACCAGGGTCCCCTCACTCGCAGGGGGGGTCCAAGAGGTGGGCCCAAAGGTCCGGCGAGCACCAGGAGGCAACACCTTTGAGGCAGCTGCAGCCAGAGGCTTTCTGGTCGCCCCGGAGACCGGGCTGCAGGAAGGGTCCCGTGGCCCAGGCCCATCAGCGCCCGCTCCGTGGGGGCAGGGCAGCTGAGGCCGAGCCCGCGCAGGGCGGCGGGCACGGGGCGTCTCGGCGCGAGCCCCCCGCACCCGTCCTCGTGTGAGGCCTGGTGCCCGTGTGCCCTCACGCCCTGCTCCAGTCCGGTCACTGCCAGACACGACTGGCGCTGAAGCCCTGGGCTCGGCGCCTCGGCCGCAGGGCTGCTTCGGGGCTCGTTCGCTCCCCGCGACCTGCTTCGCAGCCCGTGTCTGGGGGGTGGCGGTGGGGTCCCATGGGCACACGTGTGTGTGGCTACTGTTATTTATATTTTTCTTAAATTTTACACAAAACTTACTGTTCTTTGGACAACAAATTAAGTTTTAGCTGCTTAAAACCACCAGCATTCATTCCCCCACACAGCGCCTGGGGGACAGGAGCCTGGGGGCGGCTCCCAGGGTGTCCTGGCTCAAGGCCTCCGCATCAGGCCACGGCTGGGGCTCGACGGAAGGCTGGACGGCGCCAGGGAGCTGCAGCTAAACTGTCACGGCTGACAGCGCGTCTCAGGTCCGCTCTGCTGGCCTCTCCCTAGCAAAGCAGTCAGTCTCCCCGGAGTGGGCAACGTCAGACAGACAGACGGCTGTCAGAGAGACAGCCTATGGCTTCTGCAGGGGCCGCTAGGCCAGTAAATTCACTGGCTGAATAACAGGAGGGCCACTGGGGGCCTGCCCGGAGGCCGCGAAGCCCAGGGCCGGTTTCCTCGCCCCAGGTGCAGGCCAGGAGGCGTGCGGCCCCAGAGACGGAGCAGCCTGGCACGGCTTGGTGGGGACACAGGGTGTGCCAGCGCAGGGGAGGGGCTGTGGCCCCCAGGGAGAATCGGGCAGCTGCAGAGCTTTGGTGGAGAGCGGACCCAGCCTCTCCCTGACTACGAAAGTCCTGGGCTGATTCTTTTCACACCCATGACTTGCTGTCCTTGTCTGGTCCCCAAGCCCTGGCCCCCCAGCCAGGCAGACCCAGATGACGGGGCTCCAGCCCAAGGCAGGCAGGTCAGCACATGCAGACTTTTATTGACCTTTGGTTCTCACAAGAACTGGGCTGGAGGGAGCCAGAGGTGAGAATGACCGTCCTGGAGGGGAAGTACCAAGAGCCCTATCCCAGTTCTGGTCGCCCCCTCCGCCCCCCCCCCCCCCCACCGACTGGCCTGGAGAAGGTGTTTGCCACTACTTAGCAGGGAGTGTCTGCAAGATAAAAGCCCAGAGAAAAATAGCTGGTAGCTGGGGCGGGAAAGACCAACACAGAGAAAAGGGGCGGGAAGTGAGGGAGGAAGAGACCCCCATGGGGGGAGCACCCATGATTCGGGCCCCCGCTCCTCCTGCCTGGTCGCCCCACTCTCCACTGGCTGGCGTGCGGAGGGCGGTGCTCCCTCCCACAGCGGGGGGCGGGGGGCAGGGTGCTGCGTCCAAGACCCCGCTGCCCTCAGCAGCTGCGGAGGGGCGCCCTGGGCCCCAGGGGGCGAGACAGCCCCTCTGGAGCTGCCCTGCCCAGGGCCCTCCTCATGGCGTCCAGCCTCAGCTCCTGGTGCTTCCTCAGACCCTGTCGCCGAACCAAGGACGATGCCCTTCCCCAAACCTCCTGGCTCTCGCTTTCATGCAAACTAGTTGTTTAGGTCGGTGTGGACTGAGTGGTTCCGAGTGTGGGGCCCAGCTCTGAGCAGGCCCTGACTAGCCCCCTGCCCACCCAAGGCTCCACACCCCACACCCCAGGCCCCCCCCTCCCTTCCACACAGAGGCTCTCGCGGAGCTCCCCGCCCCCAACCAAGTTTGCGGGGGCGGGGGGCCCAGGACAGATCATCTGCAGCCCCCCTGCTCCAGAGGGCCTCCCCTGCCGGGCTAGCGTCCCTCCCCCCAGGGCACAGCCCCGGCCCTCGCGGCTGCGACCCTCCAGAACCACTGACCCAGGCCCTGGACGCGCAGGGGACACTTGCGCGAGGCAGCGGAGGGTGCGGTTGGAGGTCCCCGCCCGGGGAGTGCGGCCCCGCCCGGGGGGGCCCCGTGACCCCTGCCTGTGGCAGCACAGGCCCGGGGACCTCACCGGAGGGGCAGACCAGTCTCAGGCAGCGACTCGCCCTCCTCAGCCGTAAGGGGCCCCAGCCCGGCAGGCGGCAGCAGGCAGGCAGCCATCTGGGCTGCGCCTGGGGAAGTGACCTCGGCCTGGCCTCCGGAGGGCACAGAATGATACACCCCAGTCTCAGCCCTGGAGCACAGCCCCCGGCCGCTGCCACGGGAGACCCGGATGCAGGACAGTGACTCTGGGGCCAAGTGCCCAACATGGCCAAGCTGGTACCACCACATGGTATCGCAGGGCAGACACACAGCAGGCGCTCAGGACAGGCGCTCGGACAGGATGAACTCCCAGTCCCTGCCCACTGCGGGGGGTGGGTGGGAGGCCACTCCCGTTCCAGGGCGAGGCCTGGCACACAGCAGGGCTGGGCTCTGGAGGGAGAGCGCCGCCTGCCCGCCCCCCACCGCCCCCCACCGTCCTCCTGGCACCGACAGCCCTGTGCGGCCACACCCCAGCCCCTGCCCCGGGGCTCTGACACCCTCTCCTGCTGGCACCCCTCCCTCGGCGACGCTGGCCTGGGGCAGGCTCCGTCCACAGAGAGCGGGGCAGACAGTTTGGTGCAGAGCCCTGAGAACAGAGCCGCATGTGGACCAGGCCAGAACTGAAGCTTCAGGACACAGTCATCCCTGGCACAGCTCAGCAGCCCTGGACCCTTCCAGGGTCCCCAAGGGTCGAAGGAGGAAAGGCAATGCAAGCCTAGTGCTTCCCAACACTGGGATGCATCTGGAGAACGTGATGACTGTCACCTTCCTGCCTGAGCATCCGGAGGAACCTCACCCCCCAACCCCCAACTTCAAGGCGGGTCGCTGGCTCCCGTGCAGGTGCGGGCGAAGGCAGCACCGGGCCGGACCCACTTGGGGGCCACCTGCCGGGAGGGAGGGGCTTGGCGCAGCACAAAGCCCGGGGAAGGGGGCGGGGCCTGGAGGAGGGGGTGGAGCCCACGCGGAGCCCCCAGGGCCGCAGTCGCAGGCGCTACCAGACTAGACCCTTCACGGAAAAGGCAAAAACAAATACAAAACTCGCGCCGCGGCCTCTGGAAATAAACATTCCCTGGTACGGTCTCGGCGAAGGCCGCGGCCCTAGAACTCGCGGTTTCACCGCAGCCACGGCCTCCAGGGCTCACCTCGGCCCTGCAGCCCCGCCAAGGGGGCGGCGGGGGGCGCCCCGGTCAGGCCCGGCAGCGGCGGCGGCGCAAAGGCGGCCCAGGGGCGCAGCAGCGGGAAGGGGCCGTCGGGCGTCGGCTGCGTCGGGCCGCCGCGGTAGACCCCGGGCGTGGGCGCCTCTGCGGAGGGGGGCCCCAGCCGCCCCAGGCAGGCCGCCAGGTGGCCGAGCAGGCGGGAACGCACGTCGGCCGGGACGTCCTCGCAGCCGGCCAGGAAGCGATTCACCTCGGCCAGGCACTCGTTGAAGCCGGCGCGGTACTTGCCCAGGACTGCAGGGTCGGCGGTGAGCGCGGCTGCGGGGGCGGCAGCAGGGAGCAGGCGGTCGGTGCCCGCGGCGCCGGTCCGCGCGCCTCTCCCCGCCCCTCCGTCGGGCCTCACCTGTCATTTGCACGCGCCGCAAGCCCTGCAGGTGCCTCACGGTCATCTCCAGGATGTCCGCCTTTTCCAGCTTCGAGTGGCGGGAGCTCTGCGGGCAGGGCCGGTGTGGGCGGCTTGCAGTCCAGCAGTGCCCCCGACTCCGGACCCCGCGCCTCGGGCCCTCGACCTCACCGCCCCGCCCCGCCCCCGACTTACATCTTTCCTGAGGGCGTCCAGGATGAGGGTCTTGAGCTGAGCGAGGCTTTCGTTGATGCGCGCTCGGCGCCGCTTCTCCATGACCGGCTTGGAAGACTGCGGACCAGGCAATAAGGAGCTGAGTCCCGCGTCCTCCCATCCCCACTCCCACGCCCCTTAACCCGTACCCGACCCGGTCGCACCTTGCGGTGCTCGGCTGCGCTCCGGGGCTTGTTTGGGGTTCGGCTGGCGCTGGCTGGCGCTCCTGCCAGCGGCGAGGCTCTCGGCTTCCCCGGGGTGTCTGCAGGCATGGTGCGCCCCTGCGCCCAGGGCCGAGGCGGGCCGGCGGGCGCGCGGCGTCCCGTGCGCCGCTCTGGCGGGCTCCAGGCCCGCGCGCGCGCAGCCCGCCTCCCGGCTATTTCAGGAAGCGCCTCCGCGGGGTGTGTGAACGCGGCTCCGCATTCTTTCCCACACTCGTGCCAGCCAATGAGCGGCGGCGCCCCTCCCTCCCCCCGCCCCCGGCGTAGCACCGCCCGCCCCCGGCCCCCGCCCCCGACAACTGCCAGTCACGCGGCGGCGCGCGGCCCACCAACCCCGCGGGCCGCGAAGCGGGGCGGGAGCACCCCGCCGGCGCCCGCCTCTGGCACCGCGGCGGCCAGGCGGGAAAACTCCGCACGGCGCGCCGAGGGGAGGCCTCTTCGGCTGGCCCGGGCCGCGGTCCCGGGGGCCGGGCGGAGTCACCAGGTTCACCTCCGCCCGAGCGCGAAATCTGAAAGGGAAATTCGCGAGGCGAACCGAATCCGGCGCCCCCCCGAGGAGCGGGCGAGCCTCGGCCCGCATGCCTCCTTCCTCCCCCGCCGTTCCCGGTCCCCGCCCGGGCCTGGGGCCCCTGCACAGCCTCCGAAGCTGGCCGGCCGCGTGCTCCGGGAGCCGCTGCGGCCGGCAGCACCTTCCGAGGACCCGCGTCCCCGGGACGTGGGACGCCAACCGCTGGGCAGGAGAGAGCTCGGCTGGCCAAGGTCGTGAAGCAGGCAGGGTGGCCTCACAGCACATTTAAATGACGGAACAGGCCCAATGAGGGTGATGCCGCAGGGCAGGTAGAGGGATGTCACCAGTCAGCAGGATGATGTCATGGCAGAGAATGTGACCCCGTCATTGGTTAGACAGGCCCTGTTACCAGATAATCAGAGGCGACGTCTCAGGGTGAAGGTGGGTGATGACACAGCCAGATAAGGAGACATCATGGGGCTGTGACGTCACACTCTTCTAGATGACCCGACATCGGGGCGCGGCATAGTAGGGCCCGCAAAGAATTGAGAGACAGCTGTTGAGGTTATGTTTATTTCAAAGCAGCGAGGGGCTGGCGGCGGGGGGAGCGGGGGCGGGGGGGCGGGACAGGGCTGCGCTCATTTTCATGTTTCACGTTGGCTGCTGTTCTGGGGCGCTGCAGTCGAGCCCGCGGGGTCCCCTGCCCACCGCCCAAGTTTCCAGACGCCTGGGGCCCTGGGGGAGGGGGAAGCCTCTCCTGGGGCTTCTAGTCCAGCGCGGGGACACGGCTGACACGCGAAATAGTCGCTCCGCCTCGCAGACGGCCGGAAGTGTGGGTTGCGGGGGAGCAGGAACCCTTCCTTCCGCTGGGTGGTCGGGAGTCTTTTTTGCCGCGGGGTCTTCAGGAAGGAAGGTGGCGAGTGGGGGAAGCGCGCGGCACTGCGGGATCAAAGGGGCCGCAGGGGCCGATGAGGAGGGAAGGAAGGGGCGCGCCGACCAGGGGGCTTCTGATTTCCCCGGGAGGGTCCCGTAGAGCGTTTGGGGGCTTTGCTGACCGAGGAAGGGAGCCGACTGGCAGCTCCAAAAGGTCACCTCGGCTGCTAGGAGTCTACCTAGTGGTGGCACCCCAGCTGGCCCTGTGCCAACACCTACTCCTCGGCGTCCCCGTCTGGTATCCCGGCGCTAAACCGGTCCCCCCGGGGCGCGGAGTGGGGCAGGAGGCGGCTCAGGTCCTCCCCAGCACACAGGCGTCTACACGGGGGTGCGCGCCTCCCGACCGACCTCAGGGCTGAGCTGCCCCTTATGGAGTGGTGGCCACCCCCTCCCGGGCTGTCTCCGGCCGGGCCGGAGGAGCATGCGCAGTTATTTGGGGGATGGGGGCGCTGGAAAGATGCAGGGGACACACAGGATCTGCTCAGGGGACCCTGCAGGGCAGAAAGTCCTGGGAGCACATAGTGGCCTGCTGTCCAGGAGGTCCCCAGGATCGTGGGCCCTCACTCCACGCCCCAGCGGCCGCCCGGGCCTTCCCCCGCGGGTAGAGGGAAGCCACGACCAGAGGTCCCTGGCCTACCCCCAGCCTCGAGGACCGGATACGCAGGGTGTTAGGACGGGAAGGACAGGCCTGAGGAGCCAGGTTCTTGCCCGTCTCTCCCTTGTAATTGCCAGAGGGGCTTATCACAGTGCTCCCTGCCCGCTTCCTCACACGGGCAACAGGTCATCTTTTTTTCCCTGTGTCCTTGGGACGATGCCTGAAATCCTACTTTGGAAGCACCCAGCACATAGAACTGGAAACCGCCAGCTGCAGTTGCTCCTGCCCCAGGAAACAGGCAGGGAGGCCTGAACAGAGAGCATCAGGCAGGGGGTGCAGCCGGGGCTCCGGCCCTCGCGGCCTCCCCCTGCCGCGGGGAGCCCTCTTGGGGCCAGAGAAGCTGAGCTCCCCAGGGTCCCCCCGCAGGGCTGTGCCTCCGCAGCCTGTCTGGCCGTGCCTGTCTGGGCCCTGGGCCCTCCGACTGTCCCCTCCCTGTCTTTCACCTGTGGCCTTGGTCTCTGGAAGGGCCTGCAGGGCTCCCTTGCTCTGAGTAGGAGGGTTCCGGGCTGCTGAGGGGAAATGGTTCTGAGACCTTGCTCTGGTGGCCTGCATTTCCCAAAGCTAAACCACAGGGCCTCCCATCCCGCACGCTCCGTGGAGTGTCCTGGACAGACTGTGAGGACGTGGGCCCGGAGGAACAGGGGCAGTAGTGAGACCGGCTTCTGAGGCTGGACATTGAAAATGCCAGACACGCCCACCCGGCGCCCCCAGGACTCGCGGCCTCGGAACCCAGCTGCTGCCCTGCAGGGCAGCGCACGGTGGCCCGCGGGGTGGCCCGGACGGGCGAAGGCCTTGTCGGTGGAAGAGCTGCAGCCGCCGCCAGCCCGGCCCGCATCTGCGTGGCCCCCCGCCCCACGCCTTCCCCGCTGCCGCTCTGCCCTCGGCGCCAACTCTCGATTCACAGGACAGGCCTGATTGCACGGTGATGTTCTGGGTCTCTCTGTTGACCAGCAGCAGTGACTGGAGAGCGGGGGTGGACCAAGCGCTGGACCCCAGAGAGTGGCCGCTCCTTTCCACTGTCCCGTCCTCCCTGCCTTCACCTGTTTCTTCCTCCAGCACTTACAGAGGCTCCGTGGCCTTGCAACCTGCCCTTCCGTCGGACGAGGTGCTTTTCAGGAGCCATGAAAAGCCAGCTGTCCCTGGGGGGGTGAGTCCCAGGGCAGTCAGAGTAGCTGGACCCCCCGCCTCACCTCTTCTCCCTGGAAAGGGGGCAGGACCTGCCCGTGCCCCCGACTGGCCTACTCTCTTTTGGGCCCTCCCTCAAGCCTGTCAGGTGCCTGCGGCTGCCCTGCCGGGTCCGGGGTGGGGTCATGGAAGTCGTCCAGTGGCGAGGGGCCCTGGAAAGCGGAGGAACCGCCGCGGCTGGCGCTGGGCCTCCTCGCTGCAGACCCGGAGCCTCGGTCTCACGCGGGTCTGGGCTCCGAGAAGACAGGCCTGGAGTCGGCACCCAGACAACGGCACAGGCTCGCGGGGCCTGCCCGGCCCTCGCCCCGCGGGCAGCTCGAGCCCAGAGGCCACGCGGGGCAGTGCCCAGCTGGCTGTGGGGCCTGCCGGGTCCCCTCCCTGCCCCTGCCTCGCTCGCCCTCACCAGGTCTGTGGGTGTGAACGAATCCAGGGCCGCTCTCCCCGGACTAGAACGGCCCTCTCGTCGAGGGCCTTCTTCCCACCTTCCTTCCTCCCACCCAGGCAACCCTGATGCAGCCAAAGGGGCCCTGCTCATCCGTGGACCCCCCTCCTGAGGGCCAGGCCCCCCACCCGGGGCCCGTCTGGGTGGGAGCCAGGCACCACGCTGTGTGAGGGGCCCAGGGGGATCTGCTGGTCCGTGTCAAACCAGCAGCCGCCTTTGCGCCCCCTGCCCTGCACAGGGCCCCGCTCCCCACAGACACGGGGTACAGGGCGCCGTGGCCCGGAGCAGGGCATGCCGCCAAGCGGGGGTAAGGCTCTGGCACGGAGCGGGGTGCAGGGCAGGAGGCTGTGGCTGAGGTCAGGCGGTGCCAGCTGCTGGGCCGTTCCCGTTCCGGGCGGAGAGGGAGGAGGGTCCTGCCTGTGTCACTTTCACCTGTGGCCTTAAGCCAGGTCGACAGCACCCAAGCTTAAGCCAGGGGCCCACCCGGGTCTCTGACGACACATGTCCTGGTCGGCTGCAGGCCGCTTTCTCGGCCAATCAAAGCCCCTGGAGCCCTGCAGGGCTGCCCCAGCCCGGTCATCAGGGTGACGGTCCGGTCGTGACCAGGGGCCGGGAGGACGTGGCCCAGGAAGATGGGCCGGGGGTGCCGACGGCCAGGTGGAAAGGTGGGGGAAGGGTTCAGGTTTGAGCGGGAGCAGAGAGGCGCTAAGTCTTGTTGAGGTGGGAGAATTTGGGGGGTTGGGGGGCGGAATGGTCAGGAGTCAGAGTCAGAGCATTTTGTTTGCGCCACGTCTATTTTTAGCCAGCTTATGGCTGCTGTGTGCTTTTGTAATAGAATGGTAAGAATTTGGGACACACATATCCAACAGGACGGGGCTGGTTAACAGCGCGACACAGCCCGTCGCAGAAGGGATGCCGGCAGCCCCTCAGACGGCCGTGTCCTCCTATTTCAGGTGATTATAAAGGGTCTGCTCGGATGGAAGGACATTTGTGAGACACAGTCACACACGAAGCGGGTTTGTTGTTGCTTTTTTTGCCGAGGTGAAATTCATACCACACAGACCTAACCAGTTTAAAGTCTGTAACTGAGCGGCATTTAGTACATTTACAGCGCCGTGCACCCGGCACCTGTGCCTCAAGCGTCTCACCCCCCAAAGGAGGCCTCAGGTGCTCAGGGGTCGCTCCCCACGCCCCCGCCCCCCCCGCCCATCACCGGCCCCTGGCAACCACTGATCTGCTTTCAGGTCTCTGTGGGTTTGCCCGGTGTGGCCGTGTGACCAGGGAGACCCGAGTCGGGGCACTCCCCGCCTCTGCTCGCTCCTGTCTTGCTTGCTCTCAAGAGATTAATTCAGCCAAGAGATACACGTAGGGTGGAAGTGAGAGGCAAGTTTATTTATGAAACACACATGAGCACGAAACTACGGGCGGGCGCCCAGCTCGTCCGAACGCCCCACGTGCAGAGGAAGTACAGGTTTTCGTAAGTTTGTTAGTAGCTTTGTTCTATACACTTGGGCTGAGACTACAAGCGGGCACCCAGCTTGAACTGCGTGCGCCAGCTGTTGGGGTTCGAGCGTTACATACTTTAGTCAGTTCCTGGGTGCCCCCTCCTTCTCCCCCTTCTAAACTTGGGAATAAGGTACAACTGCAAAGACTTTCCTTTTCAGCGGGTAAAGGCCCTTTGTCTCTTAGTGAAAAAGGTTCCCTTCCCTGCACGGTCTCAGGGGTCCCCCTCCGCCCGCACCGTCCCCGCCTGCGACGTTGGGACGCCCGGCAATCTTGCCGGACCGGGCTCAGGGCTGTTGAATCAACGGGGGGGACACGTCTCCCTCCTCCTCGCAGCCTCAGTTCACTACCTAACAGGTATCTCACATAAATAATCATCACAGGAGACGGCCTTTGCATCCGGCGTCTGTCACTTGGCCTGGCGGCGGCGCGGTTCGCTCACTGGCGGTGAGTGTCAGCGCTGGGTTCCTCTGCACGGCGGAGGGACAGTCCACTGCCAGAGTGGACTGTATGGCGTCCACACACCCACGGATGACGTACTTGGAGGTTCCCACGGCTTCTACCGTTTTTCGGTTGTCAGTAGTGCTGCCGTGAACCTCGGGGTACGGGCACGTGTTTGAACACCCACTTTCGATTCCTGGGGGCATACACCTGGAGTGGGACCGCTGGCTCCTGCCAAGTTCTGTTTTCCTGTCCGGGGGGCGCCGCCCCCAACTGTTTCCACCGGGGCTGCGCCGTTTCACATCCCCTCAGCGAGGCCGGAGGCCCCCGTGGCCCCACGTCCGCAGGGACGCTTGTTGCATCGTTCCCGTTGTGCCCGCGCACCCAGTTGGTGTGGCGTCTCTGTGGTTTTACTTTGCCTTTCCCTGATGGGGCTGAGCATCTCTTCATGAGGTTGTTGGCCACTTATCTATTTTCTACGAAGAAATGCCTATTCAAGTCCTTGGACCAACTTTTAGTGATGTTTTTGTTGTTGAGTTTGAGGACTTCTTTATGTATTATGGACACTAGACCCTTCTCTGACATATGATTTGCAAATATTTTCTCCCATTTTTGTGGATAGTCTTTCATATTCTCGATAATGTCCATGAGTTCATTGTTGTAGAAAATAAAAGATTTCACTCTTTCATTAAAAAAAAAAAAGACAAATTGAACAGATATTGCATGAGACCCATGGCGATCATGCCTGGGTAGTTGGGACTGTCCCTATTTTATATCTGAGGTAACCGTGACAAGGTTTTCTAAGTTTACTAGTTTTGTAAGTTGGAAAACGGAAAGTGAAACTTTCCGATCGTTCCTTCCCGTTATGGTGACGCTCCTGCATCTCGCTCTGCACCTGACCGTCACTCCCGGCAGGGGTGCGGCCCCGTGTCCCGGGCCGGGCGGAGGGGTGGGAAGTCCCTCCCCGGTTCCTTCTGCTCGTTCTGTTTTGCTTCTGACTCTCGCTCTGACGCTGCCCCTTGGGAAATGGAAACTGAAACCCAGGCTGGATTCTGGGCTGGAGACGCTGGTCGCAGACACGCCCCCTGACGTGTGCGGCTCGGCCTTTGAAAACGGCCGGGCGCGCAGGCTCCGCGGCAGTGGCGGCGCGAGCGGGATACGGCGCGAGCGGTTCACGGCGCGAGCGGGACTCAGAGAACTCACTGCCGCGGCGGACCTGGCTGCAGAGCCCTCAGACATGGTGAGGCGGGTGGACCAGTGCGGCGGGTGGGCGCGGCGCCGGTCTGCGTTCCTCCCCGCCCCCCCCTCCGGTGTGCCAGGCCCGCAGCGCTGCTTCCTAAGAGTGAGCGGAGGGACAGGGCTTCCTCCGACCTCAGGGTGTGGGTCTTGGAAGGCGATTCTGAGATCCGTTGCAGGGGCCCTTTTTTTTTTTTTTTTTTTTTTTTTTAAGATTTTATATATATACTTTTAGAGAGGAGAGAGAGGGAGAGAAACACGAATCCGTGGCCTCTCACGCACCCCCAGCTGGGGTCCGAGGCGTGTACCCTCGCCGGGCGTTGAACCGGAGACCCTTCCATTTGCAGGGCGGGGCTCAATCCACTTAGCCACACCAGCCTGGGTCCTCGGGGAGGGGGGGGGGGACATCTTAGCTGGCGAAGGGCGCGTCAAGTGATGGTCTGGGCAGCTGGCTGTTCCTCAAGAAATGCCTCCTTGTGCGTCTCCCATGCTTGGGGTCCCTCTCGGGTGGATGGAGAGAACCCAGAGGGGAGAGCTGCATCCCTGACCCTAGGAGCTTGCCCTGTGCCCACGCTCTGCGTGTAGCAGCCCCAGGCGTGGTGCCTGGGCCTCTGAGCTCCGTGTGATGCCTGCAGAGCGGGAACCTGAAGGTGAAGCTGCTGTCGGGCGAGGAGATCCAGGTGCCCCTGACTGATTCCATGACGGCATCGGACGTGAAGCAGCTGATTTCCCAGAAGATCGACGTGCCGGGCTTCCTGCAGCGCCTGGTCGTCTCGCCGAGCGGCGTGGCCCTGCAGGACACAGTGCCCCTGGTCAGGCAGGGCCTGGGCCCCGGGAGCACGGTCCTGCTGGTGGTGCAGAGCTTCAGCACCCCGCTGAGCATCCTGGTGAGGAACGAGAAGGGGGTGTCCAGCAGCTACATGGTCCAGCTGACGCAGAAGGTGGCTGAGCTCAAGCAGCAGGTGTCCCAGAAGGAGGGCGTGAAGGACGGCCAGTTCTGGCTGAGCTTCCAGGGGAGGCCCATGGATGACAACCAGCAGCTGAAGGAGCACCAGCTCACACCTGGGTGCACCGTGCAGATGAATCTGTACCTCCGGGGGGGGGGGCGGGGTGTGGCCGGGAGAGCAGCGCTGAGGGCCACTGCGAGTCCCTGACCCAGGGCCCACAATAAAGGCCAATGCAGAGCTAACTGGCTGCCTCTGCGTCTGCCCCGCCAGCACCCTCGCCTCCGTCAGCACTTCGTTCGGCACCCCTGGTGGTGAACTGGTGAGAGGGTGGGAGAGGGAATAGGGCAAGGGGACCCCGGATTCCGGGGTGGCCACCAAACAGGTAGCCAAGGTAAGGGGCAGCCTAGTGGGGTCAAAATAGTAACACCTAACACCTCCCTGCCTCCCACCCCGCCACGGAGAAATTGAGGATGTTCCCACGCCTTTGGGAAATTAACTTCTAGAGAAAGAAAGAAGAGCAATCACTGGAGCCCATCTCTGCCTGCAGGCGGAGTGTGGTCAGCCCCTGAAGAGCGGGTCCCCACCCGACACCTGGGTCAGCAGAGAGTGCAGTCCGGGTCAGGTCCCAAAGGCCACAAGGCGAGGTCCCCGCTGGGCCAGCACCCGTGGAAGAGGGAGGGAGTCCTAGGGCCTGCCTGGTGGGTTGGGAGGTGGGCCAGGGCCTCTCCGCCCTCCAGGGCCCACTGGCCTGGCCTGCCCAGCCTGCATGGGTCTGGGGAGGTGCAGGGGCAGAGCCCGGACACACACACACCACCACCCGGTGAGCTGCTGCGTGGAAGCCGTTTGTGACAAATACGCCTGCCCTCAGTATCACTTGAGGGAACGGCCACAGCCGGCAGGGGCGGGGCACCCGGGGCGGGGGTCCCTCCTGTCCTCGTGGAAGAGTTTGTGGAGAGCGCCGTTCGGCACGAACTGAACGTGCGTCCACAGCAGGTGCTTCCTCCGATCCCAATTTCCCAAATGAGCCCAAGGGAGCCGGGCTGAGTCAGCCTTGGATGCCGACGAGAGGGGGGTGACAGAACAGACACTGTCCTGGGCCAAAGCCCGAGATCCTGGGAACACGCAGACCTCAGCTTTCAGGCTCTTCTGGGGGACTGATTTGGCTGGAGACCCAGAAGCCTCCTTTCTGGTCTGTGGGAGTCCGCATCTGCGCCGGGGGCGGGGGGCGGGGGTGGGTGGTCAGGGGGCGGGTTTCCAGGTCTGCCTTCCCTATGACAGGGATGCATAGACCTACAGGTGTGCCTCTGGGGGGCTGGCCTGGCTCCATCCAGCCTCATTTCCGGGCCCCACTCTCGCCTCTGGGTTCTACTGCAACTAAGCAATGCAAGCACACGCCCGCGAGCCACCTCCTTCCCTGAACCTCCCACCGAGATCTGGAAGAAGCAGGTGTTTCTGCAGAGCTGCCCCGTCATCGCTTCTGGCTCCCCGCTCTGGGGCTGGCTTAGGGAGAGGGGTGAACCTCAGACCCAGCCCTGGGGCAACGGGAGGGGTCTCCTCCCTCCCAGCCTCCGATTTGCAGCTAGGCCAGGCTCTAAGTGGGACGCTCTGGACCGCAGTTCACCCCAGAACTTAGCCAGGCCGGAGAAGGGCCCTGCTAAGAGCCGGGAGGGGGCGTGGCTGGCAGCCCCGCGGCCGACTTGAGATCGCCGCCACTGGCCTGCAGGGGGAGCCCTCGGCCCTACAATGAGGCCCGAGCCGACCCGGGAATGGAGGTGGGCGGGCCTGTGCCGTTCCGGCCAATCGCCGCAGCGCCCGGCCCGCATTGGCCCTAGCCAGCGGGGGGCGCGGCGCGCTGGGGCGGCCTCCTCTCCGGGACCGGCTGGGGGTCCCGCCGACTGAGCTTCCGTCCCCGGTTCCAGCTGGGGGCTGGGGGCTGGGGTCCCCAGTCCGGCTCCTCCCGCAGGGGGCGGGGCGCTGCTCTGCAGCGCTCGAGGGACGGCGGGGTCCCGGGGTCTGGCAGCCCCTTTCCAGGGCCGGGGAGCCGCTGCCGCTTCGGCCCCGGCGCAGCCTGGAGTCCCTTGGAAGTCCCGTCACGTCGCCTCCAGATTATGCATTAACCCGATTTCAGCCGCATTTCCTGGGGGCGGGAGACGGCCGCGCCGGCGGGGGAGGGGCGTCCGTGGGGGGCCGCCGCAGCAAGAGCGCACCCCGGGCCGCCCTCCGCCGCGGCCAGTCCCACCACCCACCTCCGACCGACCCAGCCCGGCCCCCTCCCTCACTCTATCCCTCCCTCAGCCCGGCCCCCTCCCTCCCCCAGCCCGGCCTCCGCCCGGCGCCGCTGTCCCGGCGCTTTGTTCGCGGGGCAGGCGCGGGGCGCCGGGCGGGCCGGGGGCGGTGCAGGCGGCGGGGGGGGCGGTACTGCCCCGGGTGCCGCCCTCGTCCCGCCTCCGCGCCGCCCGCGCTCCCACCCTTCTCTTGGGAGCTGCGTCCCGTCCTGTCCAGTCCGGTCCCCGGCGCGGCCCGGCCCGTGCGCTTGCTCCAGCCGCCCTCCGCCGTCCGCCCGCGCCATGGCCAGCCTGCGGCTGTCCGGCCTGGCCCCGCTGCGGCGGCTGCTGCTGCTGCTCCTGGTGGTGGCCGCGCGCGCCCCGACTGGCGCCGACGGGACGTGCCCAGAGCGCGCGCTGGAGCGGCGGGAGGAGGAGGCGAACGTGGTGCTCACGGGCACCGTGGAGGAGATCCTCAACGTGGACCCGGTGCAGCACACGTATTCGTGCAAGGTGGGCCCCCGCCGGGATCCCCGGGGCCCTGAGGCCCCCTTCGAACCCTCCCGGAACCCTTCATGGGGCCTCTTCCCCCGCGATCGCCAGCCCCAGCCCGGAGGCCCGCCCCTGGCGGGCTAGCCGCCCCGCAGAGACCCCCGCCCCAGGCCGTGAGAACGAGCCCCAGACGCTCCGCGGCTCCCGCTCCCGCTCCCTTGGCGACCGCCGACCCCCGGGTGGGGCGCCGGGTCCCGGAAAACTCGCGAGCGCCGGAGGGAAAGTTCCTGCGGGGCCGCTGCACTCCCACCTGGAGGTGCCCAGGCCCAGGGGACCCGATCCCGTCGGCCCCTGCACCCCAAGCCCAACCCCTTGTTGGAAGCAACTGGCTGCCCCCCAGGCAGTGTACGGCTACCGCGCTCGCCGCCCACCGGCCAAAGACAAGGAATAAGGGACGAAGGGAGGTGACGGTTTCTGACTGGGTTGGAGGTGGGGGTCCCGTCTGTGGTCAGTGCTGTCGCCCCCTGCCCAGAGGGCTTTATCAGGGGGAGGGGGGTGGTCAGGAGAAGGGGTTCCCAGCTAATCTCCCGCCCCCAGGGATCCTGGTGGGGGGCACTGCGGTGCCTGGGGGTGGGGACCCGAGCAGAGAAGTGGGCGGGGCGTTGCTGAGCCTCAAGTGCTCGCGTTGGGGGTGGGAGGCAGGGGCAGGTGCCCCATCCGCTCCTGGGAGAGCTGCATTTACCGTCGCCCACGGGGCGGGGCGGGGGTTGGGGGGCTTGCCGGGTCTCCTCTTCTGTGGGAGCCGGCAGCCTCCTGGGGTAGGTAAGATGTGTTTTAAACCACAATGCAGTCCTAGGGTGGGCTCAGGGCGCCCAGGCCCCTTCCCTGCCCCGCCTTCTAGCCCCTGAAACTACCTCCCCGACCAGAAGTCGGATCATTCCTCTTCCTTGGAGATGGGGAGAGTGGCAGCTTCTTTCAGAGGGGCCTGTGAGGGCTGCAGCTGGGATCCCCCGCCGGGCCCCCTCCCCTCCACCTGGGGCACTTTGCCAAGTCCCTGCAGGATTTTCCCGACGTCCTCCCCGCCGCTCCTGGGTGTGGCTGGGGTGGGGGAGGCGATGGAAGCTGCCCAGGCCTCCCCCCACAGGTTGCCATCTTCTGGGCCTACTGTGTGTCTGGGGACTGGAGGGAGAGGGCTCTGCGGGGTGGCGGGGTCTCTGCAGATGCTTCAGCCCCCGGTTCCCAGCAGCAGGGGGGAGGCAGGTGGACTGGCCACTGCTGTCTCTCACCCTCCCCCCCCCCCCCCCGTTTCAGAAGCCCCCGATCCCCAGAGCTCCTGAAGACAGGGGCCTCAGGGAGTGCTGGGCTCGGCGCCCCGGGCACCTGTCCCTGGACCTGTCCCCTTGAAGGCAGCCCCGTGTTCAGCCTGCAGTTCCGAGACCCTCCAAGCCTGCTCCCCGCAGGCTGTAGGCACCCCAGGGCACAGACTGTCAGAGCAGGTGCCCTCCGGGCTCCAAGAGCAGGAGCGGAGGGTGGGGCTGCCCGCCCGGTGCTGCCCAAACTTGATTTTGTGGTTCCTGGGCCGCCTTGACTGCTCACAGTAGGAGGATGGATCTTTTACCTCCTGCTGGGGGAGCGTCTTGGCCCTCCCCCTGGGCTGCGGGGAGCCCTGCTGGGCCAGAGCCCTGAGCTCAGAGCATGTCGCCCAGAAACGCTACCACCCATGTTCGCCGCTCCTGGCTCTCCCCAGGGTGGGCAGGTGGGGGGAGTGGGGCACGGGAGGCAGGCAGCCCAGCCCGGGGGTCCTCCTCCCAGCCCCACCCCCCGGCCGGGGCTGCCAGGGGCGGGCAGCCGGGGCCAGTTCGGCCTGGGGGCTGGGGGCTGCCTCCTGGGGCAGGAGAATGTTCCCAGACCTGTGACACACGTGGGCAGCGGCCTCCATCCTGTGTGTGCTTCCCAGCGACCTCCTCCTGGGGGCCGACCTGCGGGCCCTTACACCTCTTGCCCGGGTCTACTCTGGACTCGGGCCTGAGCGACCGGGGGGGGGGGCGGGGGAGGGCGTCAGAGGCCCCAGCGCCCAGTCTGGTGTTTGCCTCAGGTCGCCGCAGCCCCTCTCCCCCGTGGGAAGAGGGTCGCTGATACCCGCACGCCATCCCCCCCAGGTGCGGGTCTGGCGGTACTTGAAGGGCAAAGATGTGGTGACTCAGGAGAGCCTGCTGGATGGTGGCAACAAGGTGGTGATCGGTGGCTTTGGAGACCCCCTCATCTGTGACAACCAGGTGTCCACTGGGGACACGAGGATCTTCTTTGTGAACCCTGCACCCCCATACCTGTGGCCAGCCCACAAGAACGAGCTGATGCTCAACTCCAGCCTCATGCGCATCACCCTGCGGAACCTGGAGGAGGTGGAGCACTGCGTGGAAGGTGCGTGGGGCAGGGCGTGGGGGCGAGGCGGGACGAACTGAGTCTCGCGGGCGGGCGGGCGGCCTGGCCTCCGCTGCCCAGGCTTCCCTGCTGTCTCTGCCGTGTCAAGGTCAGCCCCGAGCTCTGACGTGAACGGTGCCCCCCAGCCCCCACAACGCCACCGTCCTTTGTCCTAGAGCAGAGCAAGTCCCCAGCCCTGCAAAGGGATGGACCTCCTCTTCCCCTCCCCTCCCCTCCCCCTCCCAGCTCTGCACCTCCTGGAAGGTCCTCTTCTAGGGGAGAGGCTGGACCCAGGTGAATGAACACCAGCTGTTCAAGTTCCTGCTGAGGCCCAAACATCTGTCTAGACAAGGCCCAGATGTTGAGCAACTGCCTGTGGGTGGGGCGCAGGGGTGGGGGGCTGTCCCTTTGTGTGTTCCGAGGCCTGTCATTTCTGGGAAGGGCTACTGCTGTGGGGTCGGGGCTTCTGTGGGTGACGGGGTGGGGGCTCCGCTCTGGAGGCGAACGGCTCTTTCTGGTCTGCTGTCTCCACAAGCCCATCCGAAAGGCCAGAGAGTGCCCCTCCCCCACTACAGCCTGCGGGAGGCAAACAGAACAGGACTCAACGGGACCAGGGCTCCCCACCCCCCAACCCTCGCGTTGCCCCGGTTAAGGAGAGTCCCGGTCGGGGTTGAGATCCCTGGCTGGCAAACGTGTCGGGGAGAATGTAGGAACTGCCGTTGTCCCCACATCCTGTCTGTCTCATGGCTGCCTGGGAAGGGAGGTGGGGGGGGGGCGGAAGGATGCTTCCTCCCCAGGGGAGCTGGAGGGGTCTCTGACTTCCTGTCCTAGGAAGGTGACCCAGCCCCTCGGGTTTGCTCTCCGGGACAGCAGGGAAGCCTCGCCTTCTATCTAACTTGGTGTTGTGGGGCCCTGGGGGGTTGGCAGGGGGAGGGGCGGACCCGATCGGGTGGGAGCCCCGTGGCGTCTCGCTCAGCTTGGGTCGGCTGCTTCTGGGGCTGCCTCCGGGTCCCCGGCCACAGCCCCACAGAGACGCCAGCCGGCGGGGTTGTGTGTCCCTTGTCCTCGCCGGCACGGGCGTGGTGGAGGGAGCCCAGCCTGACGGTCCCACCAGGCCAGGACTTGAGACCCTGGCCCCACTCGGGAAGCTCCTGGTCTGCGGAGAAGACGGGAGGGGGACGCGGAGATGGGCAGCGGTGTGACCGTGACGCCCAGTTTGGGGCTGAGTGGGGGCCAAGGAGAGGCTGGAGCCGAGGGGTCAGGATGGAACGTCCCCTTTTCTTGACGGGGCGGAGAGGGTGCGCCGCTACATGTACCGCCGGGTGGGTCCAGCCCTGGTGTCCGTGGCTCAGTAACTGAGGTCTCGCCAGGTCAGAACTCATGCGGCACGAGGGCTGCCATGGGCGGAACAAGGGTGGCCGCCCTGGCAGAGTCCTGGCACTGGACGCACCAGGCTAGGCGGAGGGGCGGCAGGACAGGACGGTCCCCAGGGAGAGCCCCCGTCCAGCTCTGGGGGAGACTTGACCTGTGGCGTGCGGGCTGCCTGCCTTGGTGGCCGACACTCAGGGGCCAGTTGCGGTGGATGACCTACAGGCCAGTGAGCAGCAAGGGAGCGAGCGCCCAGCACGGGCTGAGGCCACCGAACTCTCTGGAGGTCGGCCCCCCAGGGAGGAGGGTCTCAGGGAAAGGGCTCATGGAGAAGGAGGGAAAGGAAGTGGCTTGGAGCCCTGCAGGTGGAGGGGGGGCCCCAGGGAGGGGAGGGGCCCCGGAAGAGGAGCTTGGGCCCCCCTGGAAGGTGCAGGCGTTGTGAGCTGGGCCACATGGATCCCTGCCTTGGAGGCAGACCGGACCGCTGAGGGGGCGGGCTGGGTGCTTGGACAAGGTTGATATGTCGCAGGGGCCTGGGGTGCGCGTGGGGTGTTCCCCCTGGGAGCTTCACAGCCTGAGCCCTGGAGCTAGGGCCAGGCTCCAAGCCCCTCAGGCTGGCTGGTGGGAGGCGGGCGCCTCTGGTTCTGCAGGACGCGAGGACCTCAGACCCCACCCCAGGCTCTCCAGAGCCCCAGCCTCACCTGGGGAGGAGGACAGGGCCTGAGATAAGCTGGCCCTGACCCCATTCTGCTGCCGGGGGCCCCACAGCACCCAGCGTGAGTCGGGGCAGCCGCTGATCTGTGGAGGTCACCCCGAGACCGTCAGGTCCCCCTGGTCCCTGGCGCACCCCACCCCCTGCCAGGCCCAGAGCAGCTGGGGGAGGGGGCCATGTCCTCTGAGGCTCTGCTCCCGGGGTGCATCCCCTCCTCCTCCCTGGCCGGGCGCTGAAGGGGCAGCTGCTGCTGTCAGCATCCTTGGCCCTCAGCTCTGCTAGGACCTGCTTGCCTCAGTTTCTCCTCAGGACCCGCGGGGTCTTCCTGCCCCTGCTGGCCAGGCCCCTTCCCCAGCCTCCAGCCCCTAGACACACCCCTGCTGCAGCCCTGACCTGGGGAGCCACATTCCTGGCATAGCTGCGACAGGTATGTGTCCCTCCCTCCGCGCCACCTTTGGGTGAGGGAGGCCTGCTGCTCTTCCGGGAGGACACCCCCCCGGGTCAGGGGTGTGGCCCGGCTTCTTCCAGGGACAGCTGCCCACGCTCCCTGAGCTGCCCAGGCGGGCGGCCAGCAGGCGTCTCCTCCAGGCCTCAGCCACCTTGTCCTAGTCTGGACACTGCCCACTCACGCCCTGCACGCTCCCTGCCCCCACCCAGGAAGGCAAGCCCTGGGCCTCCCCTGCGGCCACCAGGAGGGCACAGGCTCACGGGCTGGCGGAGGTGGGCAGGGCAGCCTGCGCCCCCCCGCCCCCCCCCGCAGGAGCCAGGAGCAGAGAAAGGAAGTGTTGTTTGCCCCCACTGGGCCTGGCGCAGGGACGAGGTCCTGGCACAGGGACAGGGTCGGAGTGAGTCTGGCGCTGGCCCAGCCCTGCCCTGCCCAACCCTGAAGCCAGGGTCCTGGCGGCCAACGCCCTGGCCCCCGTCTGGCCGGCGATGCGGGCACCCCCAGGCCGGGCCTGCAGTCCAGGGCCTCCAGGCAGGCGCGCAGAGCAAGGGCTCAGGCCGCAGGGACGTGGGCCCCGCGGGCGCTGGGCTGGCTCTCCGTCCTGCGGAGGCAGGTAGATGCCCAGGGAAGGTTTCCGGGCCGCCTCCCCTGGGCCGGCGGGGAGCGTCCCCGCCGGGCCTGCGGCCTCCGCACCCTCACCCTCGCGGCCCTCGGCCTGTCCCGCCCCCTTCACATTCCTCCCCGCTGACGCGGGAGGTGGCTCCTTCCTGTTCGCGGCTCCCTCTCCTGCCCCATGCGGACGGCAGGTTCTCACCCCGCCCCCTGCAGACCCGTCCCCGCGGCCGGGCCTCCGGGAGGCAGGTCCAGGCTGGCGGCTGCCCGCCCGCCCGCCTCGCCACGGCCCGGGGGCGGCGGCGGCGCAGGTGGGGCGCGCGCTCCCACCTGAGGCGCCCGCGGGAAGTTGCGCGCGAACGGGCTGCGGCTGCGCCGGCGCGGGCTCCACCTGGGTTCGAGCGCGTGCCGCCGTGTGTGCTCCCCGGGGCCGCAGGGGCTTGCGATCTCTGGCTTCCCTTTGGACTGAGTGGGTGGAAACAACAGAGCTTGGCTTTTCCCATCCCCCACCCCAGGCCCTCGCTCCCCACCCGGAAGGGAGCCCGGCCTCCGTTCTCCCCACAGACTGGAAATGGGAAAAAAATGGTTTTGAAGCCACCGCCCTCTCCCTTCCTCCGTCAGCCCAGGGTGCTGGGCAGAGCGCTCAGGTGGGGTCTGCCTGTGCCCTCCCCGCCTCTGGCGCCTGGCCGGCCGCGCTGCCCAGGTGCGGGAGTGGCAGGTGGCCTGGCCAGGCCTGGGGCCAGCGGCCCTGCCCCCTCAAGTCGCCAGGCTGGGGCCGGAAGGGCAGGAACTGCCCCAGGGAGGGCCGGGGGGGCGGGCAGGGGGGTAAGACGGCTGGACCTCAGGCCACGGGTCTAGACTGAGAGTCATCCCGCCGCCCCTGTGCAGTGGGGCCCGCGCGGCCTCCCCCAGCCTGTCTGCTTTGTTTCCTTCCTGCAGGGCCAGCCCCCCATCCCCACAGGGGGTGGCAAACAGCTGCAGAAACAATCTCTGCCCTCCCCAGTGCCTTGCCACCCGCTGCGGGGCCCAGGCCGGCTGCCCCCCGCCGGGTTCAGCCCATGCCCGGAGCCTGGGCGGAGGGGACGGACTTCCTTTCCGCCCTGCCCTCCTGGCCCTGGCTCCCCACGCCCACCCAGGCCACCGGGGCCCGCCTGGGTCGGGGCCGTGGGCACAGGGGCACCGGGCTCCCCAGAGTCCCAGGAGGTGCCCGCCTCTCCCTCAGAGGCACAGGACAGCACCCCAGGGACGATTACCCGATGACAGGGACACGGCTCAGCTGGGGAGGGCGTGAGGCCCCCTGCGGGTCTGGCCTGGGACCCCACAGGGGTCATGCTGGAGCCCAGGCTGTGGCGGGGACCTAGGCCTGGGTGGGGGCGGGGTGGGGAGCCCCCCTCCCGCAGACCCTGAGAACTTCCTCTGAGGAAGGCCCCCCGCCGGCGCTGCTGACAGCTGGACCTGGGAAAGGGAAGAGGCCCCTCCTGGCCACGCCCCCGCTGCCCCCGACGGAGAGAGGCTTGGAGAGGGGGGCCCTGCCCAGCTGTGAGGCCCGCACGTGCATCTGTGCGTGCAGGGCGCGTTGCGAGGAGAGTCCTGGGCGGAGCCCCAGCAGGTGGTCTGTGGCGCTGCCACGCCGGTTCCCCAGGTTCCCCCGAGGGCCGGGGGGCCCTGCAGGCGCTCTGAGAGCAGCCTGGGGAGGCGTGACTTTGGCGTGTGTGCCAGGGCCCGGGGACAGGGCTCCGGTCTCTGCTGCCGTGGTCCTGCCTCCTGCCTGCTGCCCGGGCCCAGCCTCGCCCGCCCTCCCCTCATCCCGTGCCCGGCCAGGGGCTGGGCATCTCCTGCTGGAGGCCCAGGGCTGCGGGGAGG